GCTGCAATATCAGACTCCACCCAGCTTCGCTCTCTTCCCCAAACAGAACAAAATATTATTTGGACAGTGCATTCGCCAAACAGGGCATTACACCTGTCACGAGGGACCAATTAGACACAATGTTTAAAATAGGTGAGTATAAGACAGTTAAGAAGAGGGCCTCCGAGGAGCTGGAGAACTTGCTCTGCCTAAAAACTTTGTTTTCTTTTTAAAATGTTGTGCTACCTAAATAAAGTTGGTTTGTAAAAATATCTCAGCTAGTTATAGATTAACCCAAAGCAATTAAAACTTACCTACAAGTGATGGATGGGAACAATTCCTCCAGGGTTTTTGGCATCTCTGAATGTGGGAGCTTGCTAAACTGAGTAAGTCTTTAATTGGTATACCTGGAGTGATTTGGTGTTGGGGGTGTGTGGGGAGAGAGTGTATATGCACCTTTCTGTATGTACCCACCTCTTCTAGACAACTGAGAACCAACCCTTCCCATCCACCTCTTTCCCCCAAATTTTGCTAAATAGTTTGGAGACAGAGCTGATTACATTTTAAAAGTGTTAGTTAGTCCTTAGATACAACACTTGATTCCCATCATCATCATATTTTTAAATGTCTCTTCAGGGTTTAACAAAAACAAAGAACCATTTGTGAGAAGGAGAAAAGGCTCAGTGATGGATAAGAAAATAAATAAGTATATATATATAGGAAAATAACCAAATCTATGCATTTATTTGTTTGTTTATTTATTTATTTATTTATTTATTTATTTATTTATTTATTTATTTATTTAAATGTCAGATTCTTTCCGTGGGGTTCATTTATTTATTTTTTTTATTGTTAGTTTCAGGTGTACAGAACAATGCAATAGTTATCCTTTTAACCCTTACAAAGTAACAACCCCTCTCCCCCCATGTATTGCCCTCCAAAATTCAATAAAGTGGAAAATATCTGGTAATGTTTTTATGAGCATTTCTGTCCAGGTAGATAAAGATGAGTTTGAGTCTCTAGTNGCCTTGTCTTGAACCATCAAATCCACAAAATCACAGCGTTGATGTGCTTTTGTGTTTGATATATATTTGTTTTTCTAATATACAAGAAACGAACACAGGAAATCCTCATTATATGGAGATAATTTCAGTTAAGTCCTCTCTTATATTGTTGATAGGTTCTGTGACTTTAAGCAAAATGATGTATAACAAAACCAGTTTTATAATACCATAGGCTAATTGATATAAACGAGAGTTAAATTTCTATGGCATCTCATCAAATGTTATAGTGAAACAACACTGAACAGAATGACCTTATTTGAGGACCTGCTGTAGTTCTAGAAAAAGGCCACCTAAAAGGAATATCAGCGGTTGATATTAAATTCTGATGCAAAAGTGGTATAGATAGAAGAAACTTCAGTTTTTCCTTTTTAAAATGTATTACTTGATTTTTTTGTACCTCACTCAAGTAGGGCTAAAAGTCTTATCACAAATTTCTACCGTACCAATGCTATTGAGGTATACAGTAAGTACAGGATAGGTTTTCCCTCCTATTGAAAATTAAAGTGGCTCTTTAGACAGCCTTTCTTGAAAAAAAAAATTAGTTAACTCATTTTTTTTCATTAATCCCTTTTATTTTTCTGAATTTGGAGACTTATAAGGTAAATACCATATGTTTTTGTTAAGTAACTGGTTTGAGCCAAAATAGAATATAATTTTTCTAAAGGTAGGCTTGTTAGGTTTATGTAAATAAAGTTTTTAATTTACTTTAATTAATGTTGTTTTTCAATATGAAAATAACTATGTTGAATAGTAAAGTTATTAAAACTATATGTCAGAACAATATGAATAAAATTATAGCCCAAGACAAAATTTCATATAAAACTTTGAAAGAAAATATTCTCTTACTGAGTGGCATGAACAGGCTCACGCAGATAATCATAAAATTAATATACATATGTGTTGGTTTCATGACGACTTTAATAGGCCTATAAATACACTTTAATTTTAATTGTTATTTTGGAACTAAAAATAAATAATTAAGTTTGTTTTTTTTTTATACAAGACCTATGCTTTTTGTTGTTGCCTAGTTACTTGACTATGGGTTGATACGAGATAAGTTCCCATAGATTTTATTTTCAACTGAAATGAGACAATTTCTGTCCTTGTTCTTGATGTTTCTTTAAAAATATTTTCTTATACATACAAGATGCAAATGGCAGCCCCCCTATATTCCATCTCAAAAACTGATAATGAACTCAACCAAATGATCATGGTCCCACTTTATAGGTCCAAAAGACCTATAACAATCGCTCATGCAGCACCTTGGTCACTGTGTATCATCTTTTGCAGAACACCTAGTAACATCTTATGAAACTACTCCCCTAATGTTCCACAGAACTCCATTTGAGAAACCCTGCTCTAGGGGCTTAGATAATGAATACTAGGATAATGGGTGCTCCTCTATGTAATTATTAAGCTAAAAATTTTTTTTTCAATATGTATACCACCAAAAGTCATGTCATTCATACCTAGGGGGACACTGCCTAAAAGGACAAGCCAGGTCTGGATATGTTTAAAAGAGAAAAAGTGCATGCCACATGCGGAGAATAACTAGAGCAAAGGCCAGTGGGGCAGGACATTCTATAATAAACAGAACTGGCTAACACCAACAAAGAACACACTGACAACAATAGAGAGGCCTGACGTTGTGGTGGAAATTATGGTTGAGTTGTAGAGGCCTTGAACTAAGGAAGAAAATGGTCTTGAAAATAAGTTTCGAGGGGTGAGTAAAGCTGATGAAAGTGATTGGGGAAACATAAATCTGGCAGGGTGGGAAGAATGTAGAAGTAGACATGAAAGTACAGATATCGTGATAATTCATGCAAGTGGAAATGGGGGCCAGAACTAGAATTGCAGTGGTGGAAATGAAGGAATGGAAGGAGTATGGGACACACGGTGAATAGCGTTAATGGTATCTGGGATCAGCCTGACAATGAGCATATTTATACTAATGGTTATGGTATTTCCATTCTCAGAAATATTAAAAATGTGGAATTGGGTGAATTTTGGGGGGAAGTGCTGCTAGGCAGAGCTATTTTCCAAGACTCACCAGCCAGTCCTTTCCTGGCCGGTCTCCTGACTCTATTCCTATCGTTTCATGAAGGAATACAGGCCTAGCAGTGCCAGATCTTCTGCTTTTTCAAGAAAAGCTAGAAATCTAGCTGCTTTGTGATACCTTCCCACTTTTAAAATGTTAGTAGTTCAATTTTTTTTGTTAACAAGTAAAACATACTGTGGAGTAGACTTGGTTGCCAATATCCAACCTCTGTCTGGAACTGTGTGTGCTGCTTTCTAAGGTCATCTTGAAATGGACCCTGAACCAAAAGGTACTGACAATAGTCCCTTTTAGAAGCCTCTTCTGTGTAATTCCTATTAGCAGGAAGCTCATAGAAGGGCTTTTTATAGTAGCTAATATTATCCTTTTGTTGGAATGTTGATTTGAAAGTTACAAGCCTTTCTCTGCTTCTTCCCAGCCAGGTCTCTAGACAAACTTTATAACTTTGCTGATTGCTCTGGACTCCACCTGATATTTGCTCTAAATGCACTACGTCGTAATCCCAATAACTCCTGGAACAGTTCTAGTGCCCTGAGTCTGGTGAAGTACAGCGCCAGCAAAAAGTACAACATTTCTTGGGAACTGGGTAATGGTAAGTAAGGATGTTATTTCTTCTGAATTGACAAGATAAAGGGTGAAAAATAAGGTGGCCTGGGCTATAGTCGCAGTCAGACCATCTCTAGTACCC